ATATATATATATATATATATATATATATATATATATATATATATATCCATGCCGCTGTATCCCTTGGAAGTCTTTATGTATCCACAGGGTACATATTCTCAATTTAAAGACTGTTAACTTAGAGAATGTATTTCAATAGCCCATGGAAGCTACATAAATTAATCGAAGATAGATCTCTAACTTCTTCTGTCAGGCAGAGGTAGGGGACCCACTGAGGAAACCAAGGCCTTAGGAGATGGAGGACCTACTATTTATGAGGAGCCTGGATCCATGAATAACTGAAGTCTTCCTGCAACCCCATGTTGGTGTGGATGAAAAATAAACCTTTGCTGTGTTAAGCCAATGAGATTTTGATAGTGTTGCAGAGGTGACATGGCCTTATTGCCAAGAACTGTAATGTCCAGGTATGGAATTGAATGGGAGTCACAGCCAGGGATAAGGCAATGCCAGGGAAAGCCAGGATGGGGCCAGTCCAAAGAGACTAGACTACAGGTTACACCAAATACAGACTTCATAGAGACGCCAGTAGAATTCCCAGGTGTGGGCCAGACAACTACCATCAGTGGACACCAGATAACACAGCCATAGTCAGTTATCACCTACTCCCCCCCAGTACCACAAGGACACAACAAGTTCTCATACATCCAACCACCATTTTGAGGAGGGAATGGAAACTCTGGAAGACTGAATGTTTATCTAGTGAGCCCATGTAATGCACCCTTGCTAGGGAGTGGAACTTTCAATAGAAGAAACATTCAAACTGAAAGAAGACTGTTGGAATTGGAAGAGCTCAATATACCTTCAACTGGAAAAATCCAAGATTTTCTATTAGTTGGAGGGGGTACATTAATTATGTGTGAATGAGTTTGTGACCCTGCTACTTGTTTCTTTTCATGTATAGCATGAAATCTAGCTCAGATTAAAAATAGTTGTGGAAGAAAGTTTTAAAAAGTGCACGTATGTGAATAAAACAGAGTATTTCAGTAATTCCTATTTCTGAAATTTCAGTAATGGGAAGCGGTGCATGATCTGTCCATTAGGATGTGGTTCAATACTAAATATCAAAGTACAGAGCACTGACAAGCAGTACAGTGTGGTTTTTTTCCCTGCAAAACCACTTTACTAATGACATACTTTGTCAAATTTTTATGTGTGACTGACTACTCAACTTCAATATACCTTGACTGGAAGGATAATTGATTAGCAGTTTTTACCAAGTCCACTAAAAAGAACAGAACTTTAATTTCACTTGACAGATTATTAAATTGAGCTTTTATAACATCTGGTTAGTCCAAGCCAATTTTTCCTTTGAGTCATAAATATACAACTGTCACATAATGTAATATCTTAAAAAAAAAAAAAAAGTCCCCAAACAAACAAAATTATGGAAGTAGATTGTCTCAGTGTGTAAACTGCACAGCAGTAGCAAAGAGCTGCTTTTGGAAGCTGTATTAACTGTTTCAGGCCGCAAGGACTTCATTCTTAGGACACGTTCTTCAAGTTGTATTTCTAATGATGATAGTTTTCCACTTAGAAACTTATTCATACTTTTTCCCAAGCTCCATCTTGTGACTACTTGCCACCAGTTTTGAGGCAGCTGGTTGTAATAACTAAAATGCACACTCTAGGGAGACTCCCCCAGTTTCTCTCTATCACAGGACCTTACTTAATTTTCATGACCACTTGATATTTTCTTCTTATGCATTTCTTTACTGGTTTACTGTAGGTTTTCCTTCATTCGAAAATAAGTGCTTGCCCCAATACCTCCAATTTCTAGAATGGCTCTTGGTTCTTAACAGAAACTCAATAAACATTTATGCAATGAGTAAACTTTTGAACATTGATTATGAAGTCCTTTTACTTTATAAGAAATTAATGAAGGAAGATCAAATCAGTGAGTTTTAATTTATGGATAGTATCATACTTTTAATCATTTTTTACTGACTGCATGAACTAGCCCAATGCAAATGGAGTTGGTTCCCCCAAACCCTAGTTTACACAATAGAACTCCCCAAATAAACTCCTTTATATAGCAAAGGTATCTAGATTACTACTGAAGAGTAATTTATTTAGTACTTGTCTTGTTCTAATGAAATTATAATTCACATCTTTCATTTTTCCCCTTTAAATTCAAGTTACATTTTATATCTTTTGGTTGTTAGGAGTGGTATACATTTTATACCTTTAGTCTTTGATAAAGCTTGTGAATTTTAACAGTATTAGGATAACAATAAGTCCCTCTGAGCTTATCTATAAGATTTTTTAACTATCCAACTTTGTCATCATTTAGTAATTGATGATTTTAGGCCACATTGCATGGTTGCTTATGAATTGTGCTGCTGATCAAGATTTTTACTATTTAAAGAAAGGTTATTTTTCTTCTCCTTTAGTTTGAGAAGTCAGAACTAATAAAAATGAATGTCACCCTAAATACTAGTATAGAGCCCAGAACCTGTGAGTTTTAAGCTTAGAAATTAGTGTTTTCCAACCCTTGCTGTTAAACTGATCAAATTAAAAAACAAACAAGAAACCTCTCAAAAGCCTTTTCTTTTTTCCTCTCTTATACAAGTGTAGGACTTTAAAATTTGTTTTGCTTTTCTCTGCCTCTCTCTTTTAATGGAATGAGTATTGGTAAATGTCTGAATAGATGTCAGATTAGTTTTAAAATTCCCAAAAATTTTTGGTAGAAGCATATTAATGCAAAAACTATTATTCACATTGGTTTGAGAGTTTTCATTTGGGAGTTTCTTTTAATAGTTTTTGTTTTCTGAAGAATAGCCATTGTAAAATCTCCCCTTTTAAAGAATAGATCACAGTTTGAGGAAATGAATAAATGAACACCTATCTGATTTGGTTACAATTCAAAACCAGTAATCATTTTAAGAATAATTAAAATGGTGACACGATTCACATTAGAGCGGCATCTGGTCTGTAAAGGAAAGTACTCTTCTTTACTCATTCTCATGGCCGTGGCATCCTCTCACTTCATTATTATTGGTCATTCTTCTCAAGATCAGGAATGAGAATATTTTCTTCTAAATGTACTGTACTAAAGTTGGTTGCAGGATAGTAAGGATTTCCAAACTGTGCAAGTCTCCTGAAGATACCACTATTGTGCTTGTATATGCAGAAGGAAAGTATGGAAATTGCCAGAATTACTATCAGTGTCACTGCTACTGCAAGGGGTATAATGCTGTGACTTGGTCCTGAAAGAAGATGAAAAAAAGAAAAGTTCAATGACAAGTAGTAAGATATCATATTGTTTTTTTTTTTTTTTTTTTTTTTTTGCGGTACGCGGGCCTCTCACTGTTGTGGCCTCTCCCGTTGTGGAGCACAGGCTCCGGACGCGCAGGCTCAGCGGCCATGGCTCACGGGAGCAGCCGCTCTGCGACATGTGGGATCCTCCCGGACCGGGGCACGAACCTGTGTCCCCTGCATTGGCAGGCAGACTCTCAACCACTGTGCCACCAGGGAAACCCGTTACTTTCCATTTTATTATTTCTATGAAAAATCAAAACTTTCACTACTGTTCTAAACCTACATTTTCCTGGATCCTCCTTTACTGTGTGAATATCTAAAACCAAATACAAAAAATACTGAGATGAAAATTTCCTTTTAATCAGCAAAGTTATGTCATTGCTTATAGCAGGGCTCAGCAAATAATGGTCCGTGGATCAAATCTGGGCACCTGTTTTTACAAATGACGTTTTATTAGAACTCAGCCACACTAATAATGTTTCTATTGTCTATGGCTGCTTTTGTGCTACAAAGGCAGTGTGACAGAAACCATATGGCTCCTACAGCCTGAAATATTTACTATTTGGTCCTTTAAAGAAAAGTTTGCTGACCCCTGATTTATAATAATCATTATTAGTGCTCACAAACACATACACTGCTTTTTATTTTTAAGCTGAAGAATCCCCATCCAGTTTCAGCACTGTGCTGCATTAAAAATATGAGTAAAATATAGTCCCTGCCTGCAAGGAACTCAGTTTTGTTGTAATATGATGTGGAGTTGGTCCAGCAACGGTAACCTCCCTGGCTTTTTGCAAAGATTAAAAAAATCAGGACCTTCTCACCTTTTAGATCTCAAGAATCTTGGGAAATGAATAATAGCTCCTCCATTCAAAAAGTTAGAGGATTCCTGTTTGAGGATTTTTCTACTGTAAGAATGTATCTTTTCCAAGTAGACTCTATATCAAAGTTTGAACTCTGCTATTTTTGCTCTAAGCAAAGATCCAGAGAAATATGTAGGGAATGACCCAGAGGCAGAGCAGTAAAGGATTTGTGAGTGGAGGAAGTGCCTTAGTGCACTACTTATGCTCATTCACTCTTAAAAGAAATGTCAACATTACCAATAGCAAAAATACACTTAAAAAAAAAAAACTCGATTTTGCAATTTTAAAATAATATTGTATAATTTTGCATAATATTATTGAAAACATGTAGTATTGCGTATGTGTAAAGATACTTTTTAAAGAAAGACTGTTGAACGAGTATTCATTCTCAGGATGGAGGCAGCGGGCAGGTATAGAAGGGGCATATGGAATCAGAAAATGTGGAGTGTAGTTCTCCATGTAGCCTCAGTTTGGACAAGTACTTTTCTCATCTGTAACATGGGAATACTGTATCTGCTTCACTGCCTTGGAAAGTTGCTGTGTAGGATAAAAGAGGTGTCTTATGTAGTACAGGAAGCTTTAAAGTCCTGAACAGACATGATGTTTCTGATTTGTTCTTGATAGTCGAATGCTAGTGGTTGCTTGGGCACACTAATAGGTTAGCCATGGTTTCCACACAGCGTTGATATCCACACTTTCAGAGCTTCAAAGTTTGGTTCCCACACCTACCAGTTTTTGCTCTTTAATTCCCAATATCTAATCAGTCACCAAAGCCTGATGATTCTCTTTTCCCATTTCCGCCTTCCCTTTTTTGTTTCCAGTTCTATCACTCAAATTACAGCCGTCTCCCTTTACATCAGATGGGTATGACTCCATTGTTGGTGTCTCTAGAGCATGTAGGTGTCCCCTGCGTCCTTCACCATGGAGTTCAGCTCTTTAGCCCAGCACTTTCTGTGGATGGATCCTACAGTAATATGGTTTTATTCCCAACACCACCTAACGTGGTCCAGTCTAAGCTCATTCTCAATTTCTGCCTTTAGTCATTCTGGACCTTTTATCCAATATTCCTTCCCTCCTCTATTCTCATTATCTTTTGTGATTCCAAAGACTCATCCCCTCTATTAAGTTGTCTTCAGGAGCCCAGGCCATATCAGTCTCTCCTTCTTTGTTAATACCTGCATCTAGAAACTGTTGTGATTACTATAAACACCTTCCCACTGTTAATGATCCTTGTTAATGTCTTCTCTTAGAAAGCTCTATTATTTACAACGGACTAGAATTTTCTGGCTTACATTTCTAAAATTATTTATAATCACCACAACCTAAGTATATAGCTCAAGATCAAGTTATATGACTTTTATAGTATATTATGGCCTGCAATAGAGAATCGCATCTACTTATCCACAACAAGGATACCTAGACCTGAATTATATTTCCTGGGACCAAAGGTGGAGCTTAAAATTCTGAGTAGCAGCTGCCAGAATGAGGCTTGCTGGTTTACATTCCCAGCTCTATTTGCTTGAGGTAAACTTCTTTTTTTGCCCATTAAGTTAACAGCTAGGGTGACACAAGAAAGTCATAGTCTTTGATTTGATTTATAATGATTTCTTTTCTTCATATCAGAGGAAGGAGCTGAAATGTTCTCCGACTTGTTTGATGTAAAACAAGACGATAATGTTAGAATCGATCTGAATACTCTCTGAATACTTAGATTTTAAAAGCTTTAAGTGCTAAGGAGGTGGGTCAACTTTAGTCAAGGTAGAAGCAAAATGAAGATTTACTTTCTAACTTTACCCACCTGCTTCCATTTTACATATAAATCCTTTTTTGTCTTGACATGAGGATAACTGCCACACTCCTTCGGGAATCCTCAGGGCAACACACAGATGGGGTTTGACGTGGTCCATCTCTGGCTTCCTAATACCCCAGTTTGACTGGTCTGCGAGAGTTCCATCAAACCACTTTATGGTTTCATCTGTGGAAAAAATGCTAACATGAATTATGTGAATGGTTATCAAATATACTAAGTCTGGAATGAACCTTAAAAAGCAGCCCCTAAATTTAATGAGACTCTCTCCTTATCTGATGCATTCAACAATCATGAACTCAACATCAGAAGGTAGGTATAAGTGAAACTGCCTTGTGAACAACTCTCTTTATCTTAGATATATTGTTCTAATTTAGTTCATTCAAGGTATCATGTTTCTTAATGTAACAGTTTGAATTTGAAATATTCCCTATCATTACAAACAATTTAAAGAAATCATTTAAAGTCCTAACAGCTATATCATTACAAAGTAGATCACTTTCTAAAAGAATTTTACAGTGAGCTTCTTTTTGTTGTAAAGTGCTCCTTAAAATTTATTAGATTTATAGATAGAATAATAAAATTTGTAGTTTGAACTTAAAAGCTTAAAGAAAAAAAACTTCATTACTTCAGTATATTGCATATCTTAGAAATCAAGTAGTTGCAAACAGTCCTTTATGAGCACAGAGTACAATGAGCTTCTTTAAAAAGCAAGCCTGTGGTATACCAAGGGGTGGGGGCAGTGGTAGAATCCATCCATGTGTAGGTGATAAGGGAGTGCCTTGTCTGAAAAGGATTTAAAACAAACAATAAAACTAAGCATAAGTGAGTCAGCTTTTTATTATCACCCTGTGCTAGAAGTTTTAAGCAATGTTGGTGATTGAAATACTCTTCCTTGCCAGCATGGACCCATCCTCTACCTTCGTACACCACGGTAACAAGTTCTCTATACAAGTTAAAGTAATTTTCTTTACAAGTACTTTCAACAACCATCAGTTACATAAAGAAAAGAATAGCATGCTCTCATCTGATTACAAACTCTGGTTTTTATGAGTAGCAAATAACAGTTCTACTAGCACTATTTATCACTGAAACATTTCCATAACTCTATTGTGCTCTTATAACATTTAGAAACCTGGGGTATTTTCAAGTAAATATGGTTTGGTGTCTATGACTAAGTCTGTGAACACAAAGTTCCAGCCAAGCATCTTCATAATGCAAGATTAAGTATAAGATAAACTTGTTTTCATTTTTGGTTTTCTGGGATTATTTCAAAGGGCAAGAAGGTATAAAAAGGGGTTAGCAATGATGTCTTTGGAAGAAATGGCTTTAGGATTTACGATATTTTTTAAAACAGCAATGTATCCAAGGAAAGTTTTCTGGTTTGCAGATGCCATTTCCATCAACCTTGACCACTGTGTATTTATTTATGCCCTCTCCTCTTCTCTACCCAGTCACTTACTGTCACCATCAAACTGAGCATTCAGCCAAACCATCTTGACAGAAGAACTGAAAGCTAAAAGCTGGTCTAGGAGAAATGAATTTTCAGCTTCATCTTTGATTGTTAAAAGATTAGATCCTATAAAAGAGACAAACAGCAAATGAATAACTATTTGTGTTTACATGTAAATACAATTAAAATAATGTCTTCTATACCATAATTCATAAAGCTCAGGCTTTGATGCATGTAAATGAATGAAGTTAGAACACTCCTTCACACACCATACACAAAAATAAACTCAAAATGGTTTAAAGATTTAATATAAGACATGACACCATAAAACTCCTAGAAGAGAATGTAGGCAGAATATTCTCTGACATAAATCATAGCAATGTCTTCTTAGGTCAGTCTCCCAAAGCAAAAGAGATAAAAGGAAAAATAAACAAATGAGACCTAATTAAACTTATAAATTTTGCATAAACAAAACGAAAAGACAACCTATGGAATGGGAGAAAATATTTGGAAACAGCACGACCAGCAAGGGCTTGGTTTCCAAAATATACAAACAGCTCATATAGCTCAATATCAAAAAAAATACAACCCAATCAAAAAATAGACAGGAGACCGAATTAGACATTTCTCCAAAGAAGACATGCAGCTGACCAACAGGCACATGAAAAGATGCTCAACATTGCTAATGATTAGAGAAATGCAAATCAGAATTATACTGAGATATCATCTCAGTAATATTGAGATGCTATCCAGTCAGAATTGCCATCATCAAAAAGTCTACAAATAGTAAATGCTGGAGAGGGTGTGGAGAGAAGGGAACCCTCCTACCCTGTTGGTGGGAATGTGAATTTGTGCAGCCACTATGGAGAACAGTATGGAGGTTCCTTAAAAAATGAAAAATAGAGTTACCATATGATCCTGCAATTCCATTCCTAGACATATATCCAGAAAAGATGAAAACTCTTAATTTGAAAAGATACAGGCACCCCAACGTTCATAGCAGCACTATTTACAATAGCCAAGACATGGAAGCAACCTAAAGTGTCCATCGACAGATGAATGGATAAAGAAGATGTGGTGTAATATACACAATAAAATATTGGCCATAAAGAAGAATGAAATAATGCCATTTGCGGCAACATGGATGGACCTAGAGATTATCATACTAAGTGAAGTAAGGCAGACAGAGAAAGACAAATATCATATGATATGACTTATATGTGGAATCTAAACAAATGAAACAAATGAACTTATTTACAAAACAGAAACAGATTCACAGACATAGAAAACAAACTTATGGTTACCAAAGGGGAAAGTTGCGGGTGGCATAAGATAGGAGCTTGGGATTAACAGATACATGCTACTATGTATAAAATAGACAAGCAGCAAGAGCCTTCTGTGTTGCACAGGGAACTATATTCAATATCTTATAATAACCTATAATGGAAAAGAATCTGAAAAAGAATATATATCTATATATCTAACTATCTATCTATCCATATCTGAATCACTTTGCTGTACACCAGAAACTAACACATTGTAAATCAACTAAACTTCAGTAAAAAAATTAAAAAGCTCAGGCTTTGAAAAGTGAAAGTTTCCATTGTTAATAAGTAATTTTTGGTTAGAATTTTAAAAGTAGTATGACATTTATTAAAAGATACAAGCTTGTACTTAAAGAATAGAATATTAATTTTCAGGAATATTAAAGATTCATAATTCAAATTCATTCAAAGGGAACACTTTTTTGGGAAAGTGCAGTATCCTGAGACATTGTCTTGGATTTTTAAATGTATACTGGACATTGAACATTTTAGCCATCCCCCAAACAAGTAAATTCAATAATATTTACTTTTTCAATTGTTTTTGTTGCTTCTAAAATCACTGAATAATCAGACAAATGAAGAAAACTACATTGTTTACTGAAATGTCAAGAAGGAACACATTGAAAGCATTTTACCACAACAAAAGAATTACCTTCCTTTTTGCAAAATTCATGAGCAGCCTCAAAACTCGTACTGTCTAAGACTGTAGAAAAACTGTAGCAATTACTTTTGAATTTTATCCAGGGAATAGATGTTTCTGAGCACAACTCTGGGTATCCAAATGGTCTTGTTTCTATGAACAAAATGAGTTATGATTTCAGGGTGGTGACTGGGTTCACTTATTGAGAGATAAACATTGCATCACATTCTATGAAAGACCAAGATAAATATATGTAATGAGATTTTCATGATAATACTGTGAAAGAGTGAGTTTAATGTAAATGATTACAAAACTGGAATGGCTTATAGCATGTCTGGCAGAAATAATCTTTTCCTACACATAACAGGGTATATTAATGCATAGCTTCATAGGCTTAGTTTGGGTGTTATCTTTAATATTTACAATTAGTGTCCTAAAGGTTGGAAAAACTGGGGGATGTGATTCAGAGAAATAGTGGCAGCTGAATGAAGTTGGTAAAAGACACTTCCAAATGTACAGAATGTGTTCCATTCAGTGCTGAAGATTTAGTAAATCCTTACCTGCTAGTCAACTTAGAGAAAATAAAGCATTCAATAAAGTAACATATCATAATATAACATAACATAATATATCATAACATAACATAGTATAACATAACATAACATATATCATGACATGACATAACACAACATAGCATAACATAACATAACAAATCATATCATAACAACATATCATAATATATCATGACATAACATAACACAACACATAACTAAGGGGAATTGGGGGAAGTCTTTGTTTCAGAGGGCAAGCATGAGAGTCAGATGCACCCACACTGAGATCCTAGGTGCATGGCTGTGGGTATGTTACCTATCTTCCCCGCACTCCCACACACGTAAAAGAGAGCTAACAATAACATCTTTCTTACAACTTAAGAAGTTTAGGTGAGCTAGTGCCTGTCACTTAAGCACTCAATAAATGTAGCGTTATTGAAAAAAGAAGGATAACTTCATGGTGTTTTAGAAGGAGAATTAGCTTTCCCAATACATATGGCTATCATTTATATTTTTGTCCTGAATTGTTTTGAGCTGAACTTACATAATGTGTGTGCTATTTCACTTATAGTATCCAGAGAGTAAGTAAATACACGCACACTTACTAAATGAGAGATTTAAAAAGAAACCAGTTAGTGTTAAGGAAATTTCTTTTTGTACACCATAGCAATCAAAGGAAAGGGGACCTGATTTAATGGGATAAACACGATATCAGAGATCAAGGAAACTTGGCTTCTGCTCCTGGTGCTGTTGACAGACATCTGTGAGATCTTCAGGAAGCTATTTAATGTTCTGAGTTTAAGTTTCATCTTTAAAATAATATTCATCTGGTTGGGTGAGGTGAACATTCAGTGTAATGAGATACTATTATCATTACTGTCATGTTTTATATATACATATATAATATAAATACAAACATTATTACCATAATGATGATGATGATGATGATGCTCTAGAATCCTATTAATCTTTGACTTAAACATAAATCTTCAGTGGTATTCAAGGTCCTCCACACATGCTCCTAACCTATGTTTCTAACCTGATTTCCTACCTCTCTCTTACCAAAAACCTGCCATGCAGGAAAATCTCAACACCAGCTTTGCTCAGCTACACGCCCAGTCCTTTCTTCCTCCCATGTCTGCCCAAGCTTTTCTGCTCAGAATGCCTCTCCATGTCCCATCATTTCCTGATCACACCCATTCTTCAAGACCAATCTCCACAGTCCTGTCCTTCAAGAAGGCTTTTTGCTTTTCCCCAAGTGGATCTGATGTGTCCATTTTCTTGCTAACCCCCCACAGCACTTGCTATGGCTCTTATATCATTTGGTAGCCCTGCCTCATGTAACACTTATTTGTACATCACCTACCAGACCAAATGCTTCTCGAGGGCAGATACTTCTTACTACTTTCCCTCATAGGTCTTGCTTAGCACAGTGCCTTGCATACAGTAGGTTCACAGTATGTATTTCTTGAGTTGAATAGAATTGAACCTACCTGTGGGCACATGACAAATGGCTCCTTGCAGATATGACTCACAGGCTGTGCTACTCCAGTGTCCACTGGTGTCGGCGAAAACACAGTCACCCAGGAAGGATGACTCATCGTCTTTCCAAAAAGTGAAGGAGGATTTGGTGCCATCTGACCAGTCAAAATTAAGACCATTCTGTGGAGGGAAACTGAGCCATCATTTCCTTGCCATGAATACTGGCAACATCACCCAATGCTGTCTGAGCAGCTCTCACTTCATGCATGGATTTATATTTCCACATCTAGACTTATATTTCAGGAAGTCTAGGACAGCTTGTGGATATGGCCTGACAAAAACGACTATCTGCCATAGCAATATCTTCTTTAGTTTTTGGGAATCCTTGGTTCCCTCCCACCATAATTTCCTGGTAAGCAATCAGAGTGAAGTTGAATCAATATCTTGTTCTTTACACCAAAATAAATTTAAGATTGATCAAAGATTCATACATATAATTGAAAACATAAAAGTGCTAAAGAAAACTTGGCTAAATATTTTAGACTCTTGACATGGGAAAAATCTTTCCAAGTCTGATAAAAAAATCCAGAGGCCATAAAGCAAAATTGACTACATAAAGTTAAAAATTCTGTAATACAAAAATACAATAAACCATGAAATACCATCCTTTCACCTATCCTACTGGCAAGGATTAAAATTTTGACATACCCAGTGTTGGCAAGGATGTGAAAAAACTAGATGCTATTATACACTGTTGTTAGCATGTAAATTGGCACAAAATTTTAGAGGGCAATATGGCACCATCACTGGTTAAAATTTATAAAGGGTGCTTAGCAACTTCATTCCTGGGGATTTATCCTACTTGTACAAGGATATTTGTTGTGCATTGTTTGGAATTTTGAAAACTGGGAAGAACCCAAATGTCCATTCACATGAGAATGATTTAATAAATTGTGGTATATCCATATATGCCGCTGTCTCAAAGAATGTATTAGATTTGTATGAGCTGACATAGAAAGCTGAACAACGTATATTAAATTAAAAGCAAGCTTAAGGACAGTATATATAGTATGAGCTCATTTATATTTTTAAAAAATATACATACTAATCCATTACATGTGTATATATATGCATACACAGAAACTTTCTAAATGACACACAAGAAACTGTTTACAGTGATTAACTTGGAGGAGTAGAGCTAGAGGTCAGGATAGAATAGATTTACTTTTCGCTATTTGAGTGTGTAATATTTTTTATTTAAAAAAATTTAAAAATATTACTTTCCAAACCATTTCCCTAGAGGGGGAAAATAACGCACATGTTAAATTCCAAGGGGTACTGAATTAATTAATAACCGAATTTCTATGCAGGAAGCATGATTCATTTTTCTTGGGGATTCTTTAAATGTAACATATTACCCAAACGCAGGTGCTTGAGTTCAGTATGTATTCCAGTGCACATATAAGTCAGTATCCTGAAATTTTTCAGACATCTTCAGAGAAACTTTGAAGGGCATGAATTTCCAGAAATTAGGCAAGTAGATGTTTACCCTAAAAAGGGACACCTTTTGTAGTTATATGCTGCTCATGAGGTTGGTCAGTAGTTATTGTATAATCCAATTGCCTAAATGTTACATTTACTGTTATTTCATGGCTTTTTTTTTCTGTGCTAATTTCAGTGGCTATTTCACTAAGGAGGTAGATATGAAACTTAATTATGCAAGGATTGTCCAAGGGATTTTAGGACACCTACATCTTCAGTGAACAGTCCAATCCAGTGGGCATGTCCTAGCCGGTTGAGGATAACAGTGAGGAAAGACTGGTGGTACTGGTCTGTAATGCTGACCAGTTCTGCTCCGTGCATCAGGCAGGTTTTTAGTGCTGTATACCAAGTCATATTTGCTTTAATTATTTTGTAAGTTCTGTTTCCATATTCTAAGGTATTGGGGATTGGGTACATATCAGATGTATTTATACTGTGTCCAGAAGTATCTAGAAAAAGAACAACAAAAATTATTTGTAGAACCTGGATGAGAAGGGGGAGGCAAAGCTTAGCATGGATCCCTGTACAATGATCCATGCTGTCGTTAACATCAGAGTTTTTCTTCCCAGAATTGACTATTTCAAAATGAAGACAATACCTGTAAGCATAGGTGATTCTAAAGAATGAAAACACTTAGGAAATTTAATGAATGAGTTTTAAATATATATATAAACGTATATAGAATCATTTCTAGATTTCCCAGTTTTGATAGTCCCTTGTCAAACTGACCACTTTTTGGTGGAACTGATAGGATCTCCTTAGGCAAGTTCACTTCTACTAGGTACACTCAGCCTAACGCATGCCGCTGGCAGAACTTAACACTTACTAAGAGAATATTAACATATATAATGTAGTCAAACACTGCTTTGCAAATACAATTTACAAGTGCATATTCTCAAATATAATACTTTATTAAACTTTTGAGACTCTATGATAGTTGCTATCATGTTTAATGCTAATATGTATAATTTCTAAAGAGAAGTTAAAAAATAAGTCAATGCTTAGAAATACATACAGTTCTTATAAACCATTACTATTAATATGTCACCTATCAGAGTCAAGATTTAAAAATTAAAAGACAAGGTTTTCCCGCACATGATCATTGGTGCTTTGTATAAATGAGTGGCTGTGATCAAGTGAGAACCAAGCTCATGTGTTACATACAGATGTTTCCTCTTTACTATGTGCATTTGCCTTTTTGTTCTGTACTATCTTTAGGCTGAGTTTAGGCATCCTAAAACACACAAAAAAGGTAAGCATTTCTCAACTGTCTGATCCAAAGTGGCTGGGATTTCTCTCTGTATACTGGTTTTTATCACGTTTGGGGTCGAAAAGGAGAATGTTGGATAGGTCTGAAGACCTGGGACTCAATCGCAGTCCTGACACTAAATCTTTCTAAACTTTAAATTTCTGGTCTGTAAGAGATTACTGAGGCCTTCTTTAGAGGTGTGTGGGTAAAATTCAAGGAGATATTCACACAGAGCACCTACTATAGGATGTGGAACACAGCAGGCACTCAATAAATTCTGCTTCTTGCTCTCGTCTCCTCTTCTTGTCACACTCTCCCAAATAAAAATGGCAGGGTGAGGATTTGACTTTTCCTGAAACTGTTACCTCAGTATAGCAGTAGTACATATTGTAAAACCAAAGTAAAATTAATCTATTCACCAATTAAATTTTGCTGGACCACACTTTCATCATCTGTTTTTCTTTGTAGAAGTCTGTTTGCCAGCTGATGTACAAAGACTAAATGTTATTTATACAAAACCAACATAATAGCAAAGTAGCCATTTAAAAATGATAACAATTATTAAAATTAAAGTAACTGAAATTCTTTGTATGTGTGACCCAAATACCAATTTAACTGGTTTTCCCCACTAAGTCGTGCCCCTGTATTTTCACATACATGAATCTCTCCCTATGTTATTGATTTCATCAAGTTTCAAAACATAAGTGATTTTGAGCACTATGATTTTGCCACCTGCTGCCCTGAGAAAGATCCATTGGAAACCAAGTTCAAAATTGGGGGTCTTGACTTTGCCCTTGTCTCTCTTTTTATTCAGACATCTTTATTCTTTCAGGCACATCAAAGATTTTAGGTTCGAAACGCAATGTAAACACATACTCACATGGCACACAAAGAAGAGGAGTCAGAATTTGGATATTCACTGTAGACTACAAGAGCTTGTGTAGTTGAATAATAATATAATAGAAACAATAATAACAAAAGCAACAATTGTTTGTTAAACACATGCTAGGAACTTGCTAAGCATTGTATATATGTAGAGTCTGTGAGATAGTTATTATTCCATTTTACAGATGCAGAAATCAAGGTTCAGAGAAGATAAGAAACTTGACTGACAGTTTATTTATAGAGGTGGAATAGGAACCCAGGTGGGATTTGAACTCCACCACCACTGCCCTATACTATCTCCAAAAGAACATAAACATTGTTAGTCCCAAAAATATCAAAGAGAGAAAGTGGTCAGAGAGTACATTTCAAGAAGAGATCAACATCAAGGTCCTAGAATAGAATCATTGTATTTGAGAGAACTTGAGTATGTTACTTATTTTTCCTAAGCCTCAAGTTCCTCATCTGTAAAATGCGGAGACTTTTACCTACTTCATAGAAGTGTCGGGAGGATTTTGTGGCACAATACTTATAAAAAGCAAGGCACAGGCGCATCATAAGTGTACAAGTAATGACGTATTGATATTATTTCTTTTCTGACGAGACTCTGCTCTTCTCATAATACTCTTGCTATAGCTGATCTGGTATCTTTCAGTTCCTGACCACTACCATGCTAAAGTGATAACTGTGAACTAGGAAAGAGGATTTCTCTGGAACTGCTTTTCCGAGGATGGGTTGATACTTAGTATCATCAAAGAGTTCACATGTATGCAACACTGAGAGGTATAATTCATATTCCAAGTAAGCATATGTAGCCTAGGCTGTCTAGAATTCCACACAGCTACAGACACAAATTATGGCCTTCTAGGGAAGCCTGGGACTCAGTAAAAGCATGAGATGTGAGCTATTGTTGTTGTTGTTTTTATTTTCGTTACTCAAGGTCACTTACAGTGCATTCACATTGTTCATGTCCCCACTGGCTACCTGTAATACTATAGCTTTGGTATTTCATACCAGAAGTCATTGGGGGTTTTGATATCTAGAAACGTGCTGTTTGCCATATTTAGCCACAGAGACCATTTTAGGGTTCCAAGAAAGGAGTAAGTATTGAGTTGCTTTATTTCCTTGACTCTCTTCCAACATATTTTCAGTGTCTTTTTCAAAATATCTGAACAGACACATAATCCTAGAACAAGCCAGTAAAGCCTTTTAATATGACCAAAATGGATGCATAAACTTGGTCATCACTCAAGTGGTCTCTGGAGTCCTTAGAACCCCACTAGCACAACCCTCCCTGAGGTAGTGATTTTTTTTTTTTTTGCGGTACGCGGGCCTCTCACAGTTG